GTTTAAAAGTAGAAAACATGTTAGAAAAAGAAAATTTCATTTTGTCAACAAAATAATACCACCTTTTACACTTACATTTAAAAGGAGACTGGAATCTAATATTTACATGTCTCCTGATTAGATTATTTTATTGGCTGTGTTATTGTCAGCTTTAATTTACAGGAATAATGCAATGACATTTATTCGTAAAATTTAGAAAAGGCCATGCTATTTCATCTTTGGTTGACAATACCAAAGATGTTCTCACCTTTCTTGTGTGCTTTGGCTTTTAAATGAAGACAATATTGTCATATTTAAGAGATTTTTAACAACATAAAAATACAAAAACTGAGATATAATTACCAGAAAAAATAGTAAAATAGGGTTTCATATTTGTCTTAGCCAGACCAGAAATATTTTAGTTTCCCTTATTTAACATTACATTGAATAAACATTAAATTAAACTTATAATGTTTAACTTTACATTATCCCCAAAGCAATCAGAAATGGTATTAGAAAAGTATTTCACTTGATTTTGGCACCACATTTTTATTTAATGATCATATCGTGTCTTATGAGCTGTCAACATTACATTGCAATAGAAAAGATGCTTATGTTGTAAGGAGGATTATTGAATCATGGGGCATCGTGTGAAGAGCAAGCCGCTTCACAGGCTTCCAACAGGAGCTATTCTGCCCAATACAAGATCCCAGAAGGCCAGCAGGATAGTGGGGGACCCAGCTCACATCTCTCCTATCAGGTTGAAGGTTCAGATCCATCAGGACCAGAACCACCAGGCACCTGAACAGTTTTTCCTCCAAGTCTTAAATAAGGACATCTCCACCCTCCAACCATTTCTACAGTAACTTAAACTTTCCAGTTGTTTTAACTATCCTGTTGTTTTTAAATTGTCCTGTTGCCCTGGGATACCATGCACTCAAAAAAATTAAACATTGACTTTATTTAAAATATTTTTGTCAACAGGTTCCACAATCTTTTTTATGTAAGTTAAAAACAAAATTGTTAAGGTAATCTAACTTTATGAACTTGTATTACGTTTACACAATGTGAATTGACCCAACTAGATACAATAGATTACAATTAACAAGAGATATTTAAGTTAATCCAATCTCATTTAGTTATGTTACATGGACATAATAATAATAAAAATATATTTACAATCTACATATTTTACATTTGTCCTTTAACATGTAAAAAAGGTTTTACTTTATACTAATTAGTGTAACCCAATTCTAGTTATAATAATTTATTTAAAAAAAAAATGATTTAAATGTATGTCTGTTATTTGCAACATACATACATTCTGTCTGAATATTATATTACTTTTAACCACACAAAGAATATTTAAATGCACTGAACCATTTGGTATAATGGCTATGGTTTAAAAGTTTCCAGAAAAAAACAATGTGAAAATGAGTTCAATATTCAGCGAGTTATAGTTGACTAAAATTGATTCTGTGCCTGGTCAACACATTATACTAAGCAGAGCAGTCAACCGCCTCAAGATGGCGCCCCTAAATCTCGTCAGCCTCTATAGACGAGTGCGGTCGATGCGGGATCCACTCTGCATATATGTCTATGGGTGTAGGCATAGATATCCATAATAAAGGCTAGATGTCTCGTCCGCGCTGCTAGCCAAAGGGGGTCGACGTCCGCACGTGGCGGCCATCTTACCACAGGCAGCTCGCTCATTCGTAGCATTGTGTTTCAATGGCGCATGTACTGAAATAACCATAACTTCCTCAATTGTCTAACTATTCTCAAACTGTTTGGTTTGTTAAAAAAAAAGTCAGACATGTAGTTGTGATACTGC